GATACCTTGTCTTCACCTATCATCATTCTTCTTACAACCTCCCTCTTCTTGTACATTGCCCTCTCTGTCACCAGAGTTAACATGTGTCTACCCTCTAGCCAGTGACCTACTGTACCTTCCCTCCCACCCCTCAAAGAATGTTTCTTCTTTTTTTCTCTTTCACACTTGCATATATTTGTGGGATATATATACGTGTGTGTGGTGTTGGTGTCCTGTGAGTTTGTTGTGACTCATTGTTGTTGTCACGTGCCATCCAGTCGGAGCCAACTCATAGCGACCCCATGTACAGCAGAACTAAACAATGTCTGATCCTGGGCCAACCTCACTACCACCACCACACTTGATGCCATCAATGATATATATATATTTGTGGGATATATATACGTGTGTGTGGTGTTGGTGTCCTGTGAGTTGGTTGTGACTCATAGAGACCCTGAATAAGGTTTCTGAATAGGGTCCCCGAATAAGGTTTCTGAGACTGTAAATCTTTACAGGAACAGATAGCTTCATCTTTTTCCCATGGAACAGCTGGTAGTTTCAAATTGCTGACCTTGAGATTAGCAGCCCAACTCATAACCACTAGGTATGGTGCTGTGGGTTAATGCACTGGACTGCAAAGTTGGTTTGAACCACAAGGTTGGCAGTTCAAATTCACCAGTCACTCCTTGGAAACCCTATACAGGGTCGCTATGAGTTGGAATGGACTCTACAGCACTAACAACATATATATGTTAACCCACCGCACCACACGAGGACTCTCTTCCTCCCTCTCTCTGTATATGTATATATGTATATTGTATATTGCCCTCACCATTACCTGAACTAACATGTGTCTACCCTCTAACCCTTGAATTACTCACCTCTCTCCCACCCCTCATAACCATACATATATATACATATACAGAGAGAGAGGGAGGGAGAGAGTCCTGTTGTGGTGCTGTGGGTTAATGCGCTAGACTGCAAAGTTAGTTTGAACCACAGGTCTGCAGTTCAAATTCACCAACTGCTCCTAGGAAACCCTATACAGGGTCACAATGAGCCAGAATTGACTCAATAGCACTTAATAACAACACCTAATGCACCAGGCTGCAAAGCCATTTGAATTGCAAGGTCGGTGGTTCAAGCTCACCAACTGCTCTTCAGAAACTCTGTACAGGGTTGCTATGGGTCAGAACCGACTCAATGGCACTTATATATGTTGTTGTTTCATATATATATATATATATATATATATCCCGCTCTTCCTCCCTTATTTATTAAATCTATGTCTCAATCCATGTATTAATGCACAAAATATTGTTGTTCCAAGGTTGCATATATGTCACTATACATCACTATTTACCTCCATTCCCTTTATCCCATGCATACCTCCCTGTGTCTTCACCTACTTCCTTATCCTTCTGCCACCCTCCATCTTCTTGTTTATTGCCCTCACCATTACCTGAGCTAACATGTGTTTACCCTCTAACCATTGAGTTACTCATCTCTCTCTCACACCCCTCATAACCATTAAAGAATGTTTCTTTTAGTCTAAAAACCTTTTCTTGTAAAACTGATGTTCTGCCCTGTAAACTTTCACTCAATTCACAATAAAAACTGGAAAAATAAAAAGAAAGTTGGACAATGAATAAGGAAGACCCAAGAAGCATTGATGCATTTGAATTACGGTGTTGGAGAATAATACCAAAGGTACCATAAACTGCCAGAAGAACAAACAAATCTGTGTTGAAAGAAGTACAACCAGAATTAGAATGCTCCTTAGAAGCCAAGATGGCCAGATTTCATCTCTCATGATTTGAACATATTATCAGGAGGAACAAGGAGCTCTGGTAACATAGTGGCTACATGTCAGGCTGCTAACCTCAAGGTCAGCAGTTAGAGACTACCAGCTGTTCCATGAGAGAAACATGAGGCATTCTGCTCCAGTAAAGATTTACAGTCTTGGAAATCTTATGAAGGGTCACCATGAGTTGGAACCGACTCCACAGCACACTACCACCATCACAATCAGGAGGAACCAGTGTCTGGATAAGGGTGTCATTTTTTTAAAGTGTGGGGACAGTGGAAAGGAGGGAGACCTTCAACAAGATGGACAGGCACAATAACAGCAACAATTGACTGAAGCATAGCAGCAATTATGAGGATGGTGCAGGATCTGTGGTGTTTCGTTCTTTTGTACATAGGGTCGCTATGAATTGGAACCAACTCTATGGTACTTAACAACAACATCAGACGAACTGAACCAGAAACTCAAGGGAGGGGCCCAACAATGTGTTTTAATGAAGCCTCCAGTTGATGCAGATGTCCACTGAGGTTTGAGAACCAGTTGAAGATGAGTAAATGAAAGAGAAAATGGTGTGTGGTAGATCATACAGGCTTTGTAGGATATTATAAAGGATTTGGCATTTAGTCCAAGTGAAATAAGAAGTAACTAGAAATTTGTGAGCATCTTTTTCTGAAAATGACATGGATGACTTTTTCAGGTTTGTTTTAGCATGAATAAGGAATCCTGGCATGGCACTGTAAGCTAAGCACTAGACTGCTAACTGCAGGGTCAGTGGTTCAAATCCACCAGGCACTCCTCTGAAACCTAAACAGTCATTATGAATCAGAACCTTCACAGCACTTTATGAAACAAGGCATAATGTTAAATTTTAAATCTTAGTAATGGGTGCATGGGGGTAGTAATAGTATTTTTCTATATGAATATTTTAAAGTGTTCATAATAAAAAACTTATTTAAAGAAACAAAATAAAACAACAAAAATAAATATTTTCTTAAACTTTTACAATAATGGTCTCATATAATATTTGTTCCTTTGTGATTGACTCATTGCACTCAGCATAATGTTATATGGATCATCCAAGTTATAAGGTGTTCCAGCAATTCATTGTTATTCTTCAACGTTGCATAGTATTCCATTGTGTGTGTGTACCAAAGTTTATTTACCCACTCCCATTGTTGGGCATGTAGGCTTTCTCCATCCTTCTGCTATTGTGACTAGTGCTAAATTGAAGATCAATGTGTATATATCTACTTATGTCCTGACTCATAATTCTTGTGGCTATCTACCAAGTGGAGGGATGGCTGGTTCATAATGTATTTTTATTTCCAATTTTCTGAGGAAGTGCCATACTGTTCTCCAGAGTGGTTGAACCATTTTACAGTCCCACCAGAAATGTAGGAGGGTCCATTCACCCGACACCCTCCCCACTATTTGTTGTTTTCTATTGTAATTCTCTACTTTGTTATTGTTAGTTGTCATTTTATCCCATGGCAAATTTACATATAACAGAAGAAAAGATTGCATGGTTCTAGCTTTGGTAGTGTAGTGGTTATGAATCAGGCAGCAAACCACAAGGTCAGCAGTTCGAAATTACCAGCTGTTCCGCAGGAGAGAGATGAGGCATTCTGCTCCCATATAGATTTACAGCCTCAGAAACCCTGTACAGGGTCGCTGTGAGTCGGAACCGACTCCACAGCAAATAACAATAAAACAACCCCACCCTTACAGTCATTGGTATGTTTGAATCCATCATTGTAGTCCATTTTACAGAGGATTTCCTCATTTTCACTGACCCTCCACATGATGTCATTTCCTAGGAATTGGTCTTTCCTGATGATGTGTCCAAAATAAGCAGGGCCAAATCTGCCCATTCTCACTTCTAAGGAGCCTCTGCCTGTACTTTTTCCAAACTTATTCTTCATTCTCCTGGAAGTACATGATATATTTATTATTCTTTACCAACACCACAAGTCAAATATATCATTCTCTGTAAGTCTTTCTTTTACATTGTCCAGAACACAGGCAAATTACTATACCTGGCTAAGGTGTACACTTGAATTAGGCACCTCTGCCTTATCCCAGGTAAAACTAGATTCTAAACAAGGCAAATAAAGCATCTAGTATTACTGGGGTCCTGTTTACACTTTTTTCCTGAATAGTATCTATCTAAAAATGTAAAATTAAAAAATCTTTGGAGATAGAAAGTTAATAAAACTTTCTGCGCCCTCAAAAATTCAGAAAAAATACTAAAGTTTGGCTATAATATGACATTCATATAGTAGTGTTCTTCTTAGAAGTCAAATGAGATTGTTTTTGAGATAACATTAACATATGAGTAATTCCAGGTAAAGAAAATTTTCTAAAGAATAAAAAATTTCCAAGAATATATGAAAGATAATTAGCCTTTTAAGCTATTAAAATAGTTTTACTTCCCTTCACTAAGAATATGTGTTCAGGGGTGAAAGATAGCCTTTCTACTTCCATACAGATTTACAGCCTCGGAAACACTATGAGTTGCTCGGAGTCAGACTAACTTGATGGCACACAACAAATAAAACAAGAATTAGATGCTATCTATGGCAGTGAGAAGTGGATTTTTTAAATTGAACTAACTGTATCGTTAAACACCAGGACCAAATTCTAAGAAAAGCATGATTTTCCCTCCTCACAACTCATTATCAACAGGAGGAGCAATTATTTGTTAAGAATGGTTTAGCTGCTCCTTTGAATCCCTATATAGGATTACTAAAAGTTGAAACTGACTCGACAACACTTAACAACAGCTTTTGGAGATGGACAGGATTTTTCTATGGCCAACATATAATTATCATTCAGAAATGAATTTTAATTAATGGATGTGATCTGTAAGTATATAATGTCAAGTCAGGTACTGTAGAAACTTCTGAAATTATAGAGTCACCATTTCTTCAAAATATATGAGAAAGAATTTCCTGGTTTTATTTTTACTTATTCTGTACTAATTAATTTATCTTGTGTTTTCAATAATACTTGGCACATGATAGATATAAATATTATACCAATAGTTATAGATATGACTAGATAAGGTACCACTTTAGCACAGTTATAGATAAGACACCACTTTAATTTACATATTATTGAAATATACTCAAGACTAGGTGATTATATCTCTTTAGTATGGCAAGAGATGGTGGCATCATTTCTTCAAGGTCATGTGACTTTGGGTGGGCACGTCTTAAGTTTTCTTCTTCTTATATCCTGTACATTTTGTAATGGACTCAAAATTCTGTTTTTCAGCTTGTTTTACTTGAATTTCTCTAAGTAGATTACCACCATTACCTGTATTTGATGGGAAATTTAAATAAAACAAAATCAATTTATGGTTATTAAATACTTATACAACCATTAGTGTTTTCAAATAAATGCTTGGCAACAGGTTGAGTACAGATAAACTTGGTAAATAGAATACTTAAAGCATGAATTGTAGTGGTCATGGTTAAAAAAATTCTGAATGTCACCCATCTCTAAGAGTTGTAAGCAGAGCCTAAAAATAGCCTGGTCTATTCTGGTGCATCTGATACTGAATATGATTCAACTAATTTTAGATATTGCTTCAGAAAACAGCTGAGGCAATAGTGCTATGATTTTTTATATAGATTTGGCACATCTACTTAATTTCTAATTCAGTTTCTAGAACTCTGCACTAAGTCATCCAGAATGGCCACCCAGACTCTCTGGGTCACTCAGTACTAATGTGAGGGGTCGTGGCAACTACACATGGAACACCTGTGTTTCCTTGCCCCATTATTTTGCTAGATGCTAGATTTAGATAATTTACAGCCTTGGAAACCCTGTACAGGGTCGCTATGAGTCGGAACCGGCTCCATGGCACATAGCAACAACAGATTTAGATAAATAAATAAAAAACAAACAAACAAACAAACAAACTTGAATGTTAAGAAAAATCAAGGGTAATAACCTAGCTCACAATTCATTTTGACAACGCTATTTAGTAATTAGAAGCTTTTTGGATAACAGCCTTTGATTTCAGTGTCATTGTTGTTATTAAGTGCTGTTGAGTCCGTCTGTCCCATGGCAACCCTGTGTAGGGTTTCCAAGGAGTGACTGGTAAGCTTGAAACACTGACTTTGCATTTCAAACCTACTTTGCAGTCCAATGCATTAACCCACTGTGCCACATCAGTACTCAAATGTCATTAGATACAATTTTCTCCTGTAAATTAGGTTAAAGTCCTACTTTAACCCTAATTTGGTGTTCTTACCTCTCCTTTCCCCATTAACTTTCAAATTATCCAAACTGACCAGCATTACGTTTTTATCAGAAATAACTGAAATGAGTCCCTTTACCAAATTTGGAAGGGAAAAATTTCAGGTATAATGAAACAGTTCTCATTCCATATAATTACCAAGGTCAGCCTAATATCATTCATTAATTACCATTATGCCTAGAATAAGAAAATCCAAATACCTGGAACAGGATTGAGAAAAGTAAAAATAAAACAGAACAAAACGGAGGGTCTAGGTTCTGGTCGCCAGGAGGCAGGTTGGCAGAATGTGCCCTTTGGTTGTTTAAAGTATTACATATTCCTAAGTGTTTCTGTGTACACACCGCTACCAACCCCCTCCCCCCAAAAAACAAAAAACAGGGAATGGAAGCAAATACTGTTGAATGATGATGCACGGAGGAGATTGTAATCATTGCAATGAAATGATGGTGTAAAGCCGATGTTCTCTCATGTAAACTATCACTACCTTCACAATAAAAACTTAATAGATACATATATATATTATATATATTTAAAATACATATTTTAAAAACTTGAAGAAAAAAAAAACTAACAGTAGCTGCCTTGTCCTTTAAAGACTTTCGAAGCACATGAGCCATTTTGAAAAGATGAAGAGACCATTGAAGTAAAAGATAATCATAAAAGAAAGTGCCCTGGGAGTTATAAAGGGAATGAGATGGAGAAGTTATTTATAGCAGTTTATATGTGATTAAAATTGTAATGACAAAAGTCCATTCAACTTGGAGTCCTGAACTTAAAGAATGATAGCATGGAGCTTTTGTAAGAATTCAAATGTGACCCTTAAGAATTTTCCAAAGGATAATAAAGAAGAAAAATACTCTTTAGCGATTCAAAATCAGTGGCATCAGATTTGCATCTGTTTGTTACACAAGAAGAAAGCCTTGCTGTGACTGTTTACAATGCTTTCCTGTCTTTTCAGTTAAGGTCCCAAAACAGGTCATGTTCTTTCTCAATCATAGCCCCACCCCCCCTCCAAAAAAACCCCACTGCTATTGAGTCCATTCTGACTCATAGTGACCCTATATAGGGTATCAGACACTATAAATATTAAAGGGCTCAGATAGCCTCATATTTTTCCCAAGGTGCCACTGGTGGATTTGAAACACAGACTTTGCAGTTGGCAGCCCAACATCTAACCCATGACACCAGGTCTCCTTATTTCCACCTGCAATCAGGCTCAAATAGCCACAAAGGGAAAGAAGCAAGTAACTGAGGAAAAACAGAAGCCACCTGCAGCCTCCTTCCCCACGCCTCTCTACCCATCACCATCCCTCCTCACATGCCTCACCCTGTTTACCCAACTTTAACTCCCACTCTGTTGGAAGCTTTCTGCAGGTGTCACTAGCTGTCAAGACAGATTGAAGGAGAGGATTTATTCACAGACTATGAAGGTGAAACTATGGATATTTTTTCCCCATAGAAACACTGTTATTCATTTCTGTTGAGTTCTATCAGACTAAGTTCTATCATGCTATGCCCTATATCTGATACCTGCATTACAATAAGTGCTCTGTGGAGCATAATTCTGCATGACAATTACAATAAAATATCAGTGATGTGTGATCAAATAAGGGTTTGAACAACACTTCATGCTGGACCTCTCTTTTTGATGTTTACAATTCATATTTGCATATTGAAGTCTCTGAGAAGTTCTAAGTATACAAAGAAAAGTCTTTTTGACATTACTTTTCCAGACCTTACTTAAATAGGGAATTCTGGGTTTTAAAAAGCCCCTATTAACTTTAGGAAACATGTCTTTTAACATAAGTTCACACCATGCTCTTTAAAGAACCAGATAATAAGTATTTTAGGTAACTATTTAGATAATAATTATTTAGATAAAATATAGGACCAAAACAAAACAAAACAAAAAAATACCCACAAAACAAACAGTCACTGTCATCGAGTTAATTACACCTCATAGTGTCCCTGTATAGGATTTCCGAGACTATACATCTTCATAGAAGCAGAAAGTCCCATCTTTCTCCCTCACAGTGTGGCTAGTGAGTTTGAATTGCCAACCCTGTTCTTAGCAGCCCAGTGCTTATCTAACACCCAGTGAAATTTGAATTTTAAATAAAGTATGCCTTGATATGTCTGAAAAGTTATTTGTTGAACTATCATGTATTTTCATTTGCTAAATTTGACAGGCCATACAGTGTCTGATGCAAAGTATTATACTATCATATAAAATCAGCTATAGAGCAGACATAAAAGGGAGAGGTAACTATGTTCTTATATAATTAAATTTGAACTTGTTGTTATTTTTCCATGTCAAAAAATGTTTCTCTTGATACTGGTTTTCAACTGTTGAAAACTATAAAAATCATTCTTAACTGACAGGAGTGAGAAAAACAGGGATGGTTATATCTAGCCTATAGACCTTTTTGTTGTTTTGTTGCTGTTGTTGTTGTTGTTGTTAGGTGCCTTCAAGTCAGTTCCAACTCCTAGCAATCCTATGCACAACAAATAGAAACAGTTTCTACTGCCAGGTCAGTCCCGAGCCATCCTTAAAATTGTTGTCTTTGAGCCTATTGTTGCTGCAATTGCGTCAAATCATTTTATTGGAGAGAGACCTTCCTCTTTTTTGTTGAATCTTCACTTTACCAAGCATAATATCTTTCTCCAGGGACTAGTCCTTCCTGACAACATGTCCAAGAATGAGAGGTGAAGTCTCCCCAACCTCATTTCTAAGGAACATTATGGCTGATGGCTATACTGCTTTCAACATAGAATTGTTTGTTCTGAAAGTCCATGGTACTTTCAATATTCTTCACCAACACCGTAATTTAAATGCATTCTTTCTTCTACAATCTACCTTATTCTTTGTCAACTTTCACATGCATATGTTGTTGTTGTTATTAGGTGCCATCAAGTCGGTACTGACTCATAGCGAACTTATGCATAGCAGAATGAAACACTGCCCAATCCTGGGCCAACCTCACTATTGTTGCCATATTTGAGCCCAATGATGTGAGCACTTTGCCAATCCATCTCATTGGGGGTCTTCCTCTTTTTCTCTGACCCTCCACCCTACCAAACATGATATCCTTCTCCAGTGACTGGGTCCCTCCTGACAATAAGTCCAAAGTATGAGAGATGAAGTTTGGCCATCCTGGCCTCCAAGGAGCACTCTGGTTGCACTTCTTCCAACACAGATCTGTTGGTTCTTTTGGCAGCCCATGGCACTTTTAGTATTCTCCTCCAACACCATAACTCATAAGCATCAATTCTTCTACGGTCTTCCCTATTCACTGTCCAGCTTTAGCATGCATATGAGGTTATTGAAAATACCATGGCTTGGGTCAGGCACACCTTAGGTCTTGTGCAGCAGATTTGCCTAATGCAATACATTGTTTGATTTCTTGACTGCTGCTTCCGTGAGTGTTGATAGCTGATGCAAGAAAAATGAAGTCCTTAACAACTTCAATCTTTTCTCCATTGATAAGAAAATTATTTATTGGTCCAGTGGTGAGGATTTTTGTTTTCTTTACATTGAGATGCAATCCATATCGAAGGCTGTGCTCTTTGATCTTCATCAGTAAATATATTAAGTCCTCTTCATTTTCAGCAAGCAAAGTTGTATCATCTGCATATCGCAGGTTGTTAATGAATCACAGCAACTCACAAGCCACCACAGTATGACAAACTGATAGACGTGTCGGGGATGTGAATATGAGATGTTTGAAAATACCTTGGTTTGGGTCAGGTATACCTTAGTCCTCAAACTGGTATATTTTGTCTTTAATACTTTAAAAGGTCTTTTGCAGCAAATTTGCCTAATGAATGCATCTTTTGATTTCTTAACTGCTGTGGTTCAAGCTCACCAGCTGCTCCTCGGAAACACTATACAAGGTCACTATGGGTCGGCACCGACTTGATGGCACTTCACAACAACAACAATAACTTTCATCATTAAATAGCTCTGATGGCATAGTGTTTACGAGTCAGGCTACTAACCTCAAGGGCAACAGTTTAAAACTACCAGCTGTTCCACGGGAGAAAGATGAGGCTTTCTGCTCCCATAAAGATTTACAGCCTCAGAAACCCTATACAGGGTCTCTGTGAGTTGGAGCAGACTCAACAGCACTTAACTAACTGATTTCCAGCAAGGGAAGTTGTATCATCTGCATATCAAAGGTTTTTAAATTAGTTTTCTTTAATTCTGATACAATGTTCTTCTTCATGTATTCTAGCAACTTGGATTTTTTGTTCATCATCCAGACTGAATAAGCATGGTGAAAGGCTATAACCCTGGCACATAACTTTCCTGAGTTTAAACCATTCAGTAACCAATCATTCTGTTTGAATGACTGCCTCTTTGTCTATGTACATGTTTCTTGAGCACAGTTAAATGTTCGAGAATGACCATATTTTGCAATGTAATCCATAGTTTGTTATGATACACATAGTCAAATGTCTTTGCATAGTCAAAAAAGTGCAAATAGACATCTTTTGGGTATTCTTTGCTTATACCTAAGAATCATCTGATGTCAGCAATAACATCCTTAGTTCCAAGTCCTATTCTGAATCTAGCTTTAATTACGGGCATCTCCCTGTTGATGTATTGCTGCAATTGTTTTTGAAATATATTCAACAAAATTTTAGTTGCATTTGATATTAATATTGTTGTTTAATGATTGTTGCCTTTCATTGGGTCACTTTTGAAATGGGCACAAATATGAATCTCTTCCAATCTGTTGGCTAAGTAGCTATCTTCCACATTTCTTGGCATAAATGGGTTAGTGCCTCCAGCGTTGCATCAATTTGTTTGAAACATTTAAATTGTTTTTCACCAATGCCTTCAATGACACTTGGACTTCTTCCTTCATTACTATGGGTTTTTAATCATATGCTACTTGAGATGATTGAGCATCAACCGTTTCTTCTTTGTACAGAGACTTGGTATTACAACCATTTTCTTTTGATGCTTCCTGCACCATTCAATGTTTACTCTTAGAATCTTTCAATATTGCAATTCAAGACTTGAATTTTCTTCTTCAGTTATTTCACTTAAGAAATACTAAGCATGTTCTTCTCTTGGTTTGCTTACTCCAGGTCTTTGCACATTTCATCATAACACTTGGCTTTGTCATCTTCTTGAGATTCCCTTGGAAATTTTCCATTCAGCTCTTTTCCTTCCTCATTTCTTCCACTTGCTTTAGCTTCTTTAGGCATAAGAGCAAGTTTCAGAGTCTCTACTGACATCTGTTTTAGTCTTTTCAATGACCTTTTGCTTTCTGTTTTAGTCTTTTCTCTTTCCTGTCTTTTTAATAGCCTTTTGCTTTCTTGATGTCATACCACAATGTAGCAAATCTGGTCTTGAGATGATCTCTAAACTCAGATGGGATATACTCAAGTCATATTTTGCCTCTTGTGGACTTGTTTCAATTTTCTGCAGCTTCAGCCTACACTTGCAAGTGAGTAATTGATAGTCTGTTCCACAGTTGATATCTGACCTTGTTTTGGCTGATGGTTTTGAACTTCTCCCATCATCTCTTCCCACAGATGTAGTCAGCTTGATTCCTGTGTAATTGATCTTGTGATGCCCACATGAACAGTCAACTTTTATGTTGTTGAAAAAGGGTATTTACAATGAATAAGTAGTTGGTTTTACACAATTCTATCATGTGTTTTCCAACTAATTTCTGTCACCAAGTCCATAATTTGCAGCTACTGGTCCTTCCTCTTTGTTTTGAACTTTCACATTTCAATCACCAGTAATTATCAGTGCATCTTAATTATGTATGATCAATTTCACACTGAAGAATTCAGTAGAATTTTTCAGTTTCAGTATCACTGTTGTTGCATAAATTTAAATAATAATATCAGCTGCTCTTCTTTTTAAGTGTCATTATCCTATCACAGACAACTTTGTACTGCAAGATAGATGTTGAAATGTTTTTTAACAATGAATGTGATGCTCTTCTTCTTCAATTTGTCATTCCTGGCATAGTAAACCATATGACTGTCAGATTCTAAATAGCCAATACCAATTAATTTCAACTCACTATTGTTGTTAAGTGCCATTGAGTCAGTTCTCACTTATAGTGACCCCATGCACAACAAATGAAACACTGCCTAATCCTGCACCATCTTTACAGTCTGTGCCAATCTATCTCTTTGGGGGTTTCCCTCTTTTTTCACTGACCCTCCACATTTTAAAGTATAATATTCTCCCGATAATACGTCCGAAGTACAAGTGACAAAGTCTAGCCATGCTAGCTTCTAGTGAGCATTTTGCCTGTCCTTCTTTCAACAAATATTTGTTTATTTTTCTGGTGGTCCATGTTACTTTCAATATTCATAACTCAAATGTATCAATTCTTCTGTGGTCTTCCTTATTCACTGTCCAATTTTCACATGCATATGTTGTTGCTATTGTTACATGCCTATGGATTAGTTCTGACTCATAGCGACCCTGTGCACAACAGAAGGAAACACTCCCCAGTCCTCCACCAATCTCATAATCACTGTTATGCTTGAGCCCATTGCTGCTGCCACTGTGCTAGTCCATCTCATTGGGGATATCTCCCTCTATTTTACTGACTCTCCACTTCACCAAGCATGTTGTCCTTCTCCATGAACTGGTCCCTCCTGACAACATATCAGAAGTATAAGAGAAGAAGTCTGGTCATCTCCTAACGAGCATTCTGGTTGTACTTACTTCTAAAACAGATTTGTTTGTTCTTCTAAAATAATTTTACTATTTTTCTCCAGCACCATAACTCAAATTTGTCCATTCTTTTATGGTCTTCCCTAGTCACTGTCCAATGTACACATGCATATGAGTGTAAGGTAGCTGTCTTCCAGATTTCTTGTCATAGATGAGTGAGTTCATATGAGTGAGTGCACACACACATGAGGCTACCATAGATTAGATCAAGCATACCTTAGTCCTCAAACTGATATCTTTGTTCTTGGATACTTTAAAGAGATCTTGAACCTAATTTGATACTTTAATACTTTAAAGAGGTCTTGAACCAGATTTGCTCAATGCAATGCATCCTTTGATCACTTCAGTGCTGTTTCCATGAGTGTAAACTGTGGAAATGAGCAAAATGAAATCTTTAACAAATTCAAACTTTTCTCCATTTATCATATTTACTGGACCAGTTGTAAGGATATTTGTTTTCATTATGTTGAGGTACAATCCATCCTGAAAGCAGTATTGTCTTCATCAGTGTGTATGTTAAGTCCTCTTCACTTTAAGCATATCACAGGCTGTTAGTGAATCTTCTTCTAATCTTTATGCCATGCTCTTCTTCATCTAATACAGCTTCTCAAATTATTTGCTCAGCATACAGATAAGTATAACGAAATGATACTACCCTGGCACACACCTTTCCCGATTTTAAACCATTCAGTGTCCCCTTGTTCTGTTTGAATGACTGCCTCTTGGTCTATGTACGGGTTCCTCATAGCTTGTCATTACTCATGCATTTGAAAACCATTACATAGTCAATAAAGGACAAGTAAACATCTTTCTGGTATTTTCTGATTTCAATCAATATCCATCTTGATGTCAGCAATGATATTTCTAGTTCCATGTCCTCTTCTGAATCAGGCTTGAGTTTCTGTCAGTTCCCTGTCGATGGACTGTTGCAGCCATTTTTAAAATTAGCTTCAGCAAAAATTTTACTTACATGTGATATTAATGATATTGTTCCATGATTTCCACATTCCATTTGGTAACCTCTCTTTGGAATGGACACCAATATGGATCTCTCAAAGTAAGTTGGCCAGCTAGCTGTCTTCCAAATTTCTTGACATAGATGATGAGTGTCTCTAGTGCTTCGTCAGTTTGTTGGAAGATTTCAATTTGTATTCCATCAATTCCTGGACCTTGTTTTTCACTGATGGCTTCAGTGAAGCTTGGACTTCTTCCTTCAGTACTGAGAGGCTCATCTTCCACATTATATCTGACAGTGTCCCACTGCTACTCATAAGGTTTTCAGTGGCTAAACATTCAGAAATTATCTGCCTCTCCTTCTTTCTACTCTGTCTTAGTCTGGAAACTCCAATGAATCCTGTCCTCCATGGGTGACACTGCTGATATGTAAAACACCAGTGGCATAACTTCCAACATCAGAGCAACACGCAAGTCGCCAGAGTACAACAAACTGACAGACCAGTGGTGGTTCAGCTCACTAATGACCAACATTCGTCCGTCAGTTTGCTGTATTGTAGTGGCTTGCATACTACTGTGAAAAGATAATGGATTTCTATAACTGTTTGAAGCCCTTTCATAACAGCTGTTTGGGAAATCTAGATGGACAGTTAACTATAATTTCCTTGGGACTGAATGATCCTTCAGTTGCTGGAGAATGGAAATACACTTTCATCTGTTTTAGAATCCTGTATTTAAGTATAAATCAGAACTGAAAGGAGTCCAATAATAGCAGGTGGGGCACCTTTTCTTGGGAATTTACCTGGCTATGATTGGTACTTTGGTGACCACATGTCTTCTCCACTTATGAAAAAGCATAGTAGCATACCAATCAGTCTAATACACAATTTTAGACTGAATTCTTAGGCTGACATCTAAAAAATTTTTTTTAATAAAACAGAGTAAAGTCCTTTCCCTAATTCATTTTAACAAGTAAAAAGTTAAATGAATGAAAAACTTACACACAGTAGGAGCAATGATCTCACTTTTACTCATTGAATTTCTAAGCCTCTGAGTGGGTTGAGCTGGAAGATGATGGAGAGTAAGTTCTCCCACTGTAGGTTTGACCTCAAACCATTCTATAAAATAGAAACATAATTCAATTCTTAAAAAAAATGCATTCATTGCTAAGACAAGATGCTATAATTTGGAAATAAAGCAAATTATTTAGACATATTTCATATTATAAAAGTGATATGGCTACATAGGGAAATATCCCCCCCCCCCACGTAAGCACATCTTTCACAATATCTTTAAATGACAAAATAATTATTTACACAGAGTATGCTATTTGCCTAATTTGAGGAGCATGAGGCAATGTTAATCTAATATAAACCAGAAAAGGGAAGAAGAGAAAAAAGTAAAGTATTGGCTATATAAAGAAATGTAAAGAAAATATACAAGGATGAGTCAAAAATTATCTTCACTCTGGCTTTAGAATTTATTTTAATCAACTTTTAAGAAAAGACAAATATATCATTTTTCACCATAATCTCCTTGCTTTTCAACACTTTGTCCATCTTTCAACAAGCTTTCATATTCCTATTTTAAAATGTTTTAGGTTGAGCTATGAGCCACGAATGTGCCCCTGTCTTCACTTCTTCATCAGAGGTGAATCTTTGTCCTCCAAGGGCTGCTTTCAGGGGACCAGACAGGTGAAAGTGCGATGGAGCAGGACCAGGACTATAGGGAGAATGCCTTAACACCTCAAAATGAAGTTTTTGCAGTGTCAACAGTGTGGGCAGAGGTGTGAGGATATACATTTTCATCTAAGATAAGAAAGCCCATGGATAGCAGTCCTCTGCTTATAATCTGAAGTTTAGGCTTCAGCTCTTCAGTGAGCATCTCACTATAACACACACTGTTGATTGTTGAACATTTTTCCTGATAGTGTTCCAAAACTAGCCCTTGAGAATCCCAGAAAACTGTAAGTCTCAATTTTCTAGATAATGGTTGACTTTTGCACTTTTCTTGGTCAGAAATTAAGGATATTTTCATCTCATATTCTGCTGTTTACTCTCAGGCTTGTAGTGATGAATCCATGTCTCATCACCAGTAATGATTTTTTTAAAGAAACCATTTATCTTCCTTTGTATATCGGCCCAAATATTGTTTTCAGATATACAAATGCTTCTGCTTATGCTCTTCAGTGAGCTGTTTTGGTGCCCATCTTGCACAAACTTTTTGAAGCCCAAGTCTCTTATGGATTATTTTATAGGCATAGCCATGGCTGATTTTCAAATGCTTTGCCACATAATCCACTGTCACTCATCTGTTCAATAGAATCATCCCATGTACACACTTCAATGTTATCATCAGTTGCAGACATGGACGGACATTTTAATATAACTGTAGTGCAGAAAAATTGTGACTTATCCCCTTATTTATGTTCTTAATAGTTATTCATAAGTGTCTATGAAACAACTATGTACATATATATTCTGTATATGTATATAGTTGTTTCATATATATATATTTGTTGTTGTTGTTGTGGTTGTCTGGTGCCATCGAGTCAGAACTGACTCATAGCGACCCCATGCACAGCAGAATGAAACAATGTCAGATCCTGGGCCAACCTCACTACCGTTGCCACACTTGAGTCCATCAATGATGCCACCTAGCCAATTGATCTCGTTAGAGGTCTTTCTCTTTTTCTCTGACCCTCCACCTTACCCAGCATGACATCCTTCTCCAACGATTGTTTCCTCCAGACAATATGTCCAAAGTATGAGAGACGAAGCTTAGCCATCTTGGCCTCTAAGGAGCACTCTGGCTGCACTTCTTCCATAACAGATATATTGGTTCTTTTGGCAGTCCATGGCACTTTCAGTATTCTCCTCCAACACCACAACTCAAAGGCATCAATTCTTTTATGATCTTCCTTATTTACTGTCCAGCTTTCGCATCCGCTATGAGGCTATTGAAAACACAATGGCCTGGGTCAGGCGCACCATAGTCCTTAAGCTGACATCTCTGTTCTTCAATACTTTAAAAAGTTCCTGTGCAGCAGATTTGCCCAGTGCAATACGTTGTCTGATCTTTTGACTGCTGCTTCCGTGAGTGTTGATAGTTGATCCAAGAAGAATGAAGTCCTTGACAACTTCAAATATCTATATCTATATCTATATATCTTGATGAATTTTTGGAGTGAGGAAACTATCACCCAGATCTGGAGAACTATCACCCATTTCAAGAAATAGTATATATTACTAGCATCCCAAGGGAGTCATGGTGTGGCACTCTAGGATAAGCACTAAACTGCTAACCACAAGGTTGGCGGTTCAAACCCTTCAACTGCTCTTCAGAAACCCTATAAAATGTCACTATTAGTCTGAACCAACTCCATGGCACTAACAACAAAAGCAACCCACGATCTCTTTCCTACCCCTCTCAAAGATATTAGCCTCAACTATCCTGATTTTTGTTGTCATAAGCTATTTTTGTCTATATTTATATTTCATATAAATAAATCTTACAGGACCTATTTCATTTTGCAAACAATTTTATACTTTAAAATAGGGATTTAAATTTTTTTCTGTTTCCCATACTTCCTACTAAATGAGTCTATAAACTGCCACTACAAGGTCAGTGGTTCAAGCTGACCAGTCATTCCTCAAAAGCACTATATGGAATTACTATGCAGAACTGTCTCCACTGCACTTAACAATAACAACAATAAATGACCACACATGGGCAACAATTTTTGTGCTTCTAAAGGTAACTAATTCTGCTGTAGCTCATCCATTACTGAAACCTGACTAAGGATCTAAGGTAATTTCTACTCATCAGTCAAGCCCTGTTATCATTTTGTTTCATGCTAAACACAGTCCTGGTCTTTACATACCCAGAGCTGTGATTATCACAGTAATTAATTATTTTGGCAACAGATGATTAACTTTTAAAATCAGCAGTCTTAGGATAAAAGAGGACTGCTCAATAATCTGAAGACTGAGGTGATTCATTGCTAAAAAGAAATGTTCAAAGAAGAGGACAGATAGGTTACTTTTGTGCAGAAATATCACTGAAATATCATAGAAGATTAATGGAATCATTGTGTTTTGTTCTATAAATCAGAACTAGAAACAGTTTGTGAGATTGACGAAATGTACAAGATTGCTGATTGTGGTGGTTGTGTGTCACCGAGTGGATTCTGACGTATAATGATCCTGTATAGGATTTCTGAGGCTGTAAATCTTTACCAGAGCAGAGAACCTCATCATTCTCTCAGAGGCTGGTAGATTCAAACTGCTGCCCTTGCAGTTTGAAGGCCATAATCCACTACACTACTAGGGGCCTTTACGCAAAGATTAGGGTATCATAAATAGTAATGTCTGATTTGTTGTGTTAAAAAATAATTTGGCAAACCTAAAGTGCTAAACAACAGAAAAAAATATATGTAAGTGGGAAGGCAGAAAGGCTGTAAGCAGGGTCATAATGTTCGATGATCTTTGTCATGTTGAAGAAAAGAATAAAGATAAAAGTTTTAGATTGAGGTAAACTTAAACATACACATTAAAATTTCTAGGGAGACACTACAAAGAGTAGAAATTTTAATATTTCCTAATTAGTAGTGGAAAAGAGTCTTTGGGTTCCAAAAATTTCAGTCTCAAAGAAGAAAAGATAGTTGAGACAAAAAGAAAAAAACAGAAAAGGAGAACAAGTACACAAAATAACATGATAGACGTTATGAATGAATGAAATATATAACACCAATCAATATTGTTGTTGTGTGCTGTTGAATCAATTCCAATTCCTAGTGACCCTGTATAGGGTTTGCAAGGAGAGGCTGGTGAGCTTGAACTGCTGACCTTGAGGTTCAAACTGACCTTGTGCATTAACCCACAGCACCACACTGGAAGTTAACAACAGCAAAGGAACAATAAAACTAGTCATAAATGAAATAGCAAAGAAACATGAAACAGGGTGTTTCAAAGAACAATTTAAGTGGCTTGCTTTTACAAGTATCAGTATTTGTTATAAAGCAATAGTAAGACAACATGGGTGTTAAGTGGCACACATACAAACAAACTTGAGTAGTTGTTGTTGTTAAGTGCTGTCAAGTCGGTTCTGACCCATAGCGACCCTGTGTCCCTGTATGGGGTTTCCAAGGAGTGGCTAGTGAGCTTGAACCACCAACCTTGCAGTTCAAACTGACTTTGTAGTCCAGCACATTAACTCACAGCACCACACCAGGACTCCAAATTGAATTGATAGACCTATAAATACACAGGAACATGAAAAATGAGACGATAATGCAGATCACTGGGGAAAGAACAGACTTCAAAAACTGGTACCGAGACAACTGGATTTTCAGATCAAAAGTAGATGAATTAAAAGCTTAAAAGTGAAGGGCTAAATTTTTATTATTTCATGATGTAAAACATACTAAATGTGAAGTTTTTATTAGTTTTTCTTATGCCATAGCAATTTATTATAAATTTAGTGATTTAAAGTAACACCCCTTGTTTATATTACCCCAGTTTTACAATTAAGAAATCTGGATCTTTTGGTTTTAGTTTTACAGGGTTGAAATCAAGGTATTGGCAGGGCTGCACTGTTTCTGCTCTAGAATGAATCTCCTTACAAGTTCAATCAAGTAGTTGGATGAATTCAATACCTTGAGGTTATGAGACTCAGGTGCCCATTTTCTTGCTCGCTGTCAGCCAAGGGCTGTAGTTGCCCTTCAGGCCACACCTCATGCCAACTCATGCTTATCATTTGACCCCTCCAGAATGGCTTGTCCAATCCCTCTCACATTTCATATCTGTCTTACATGGTTTTATGCTTCACCTTTCATATCCCAGATGGAGCAAGAGCTCTGCTTTTAAAAACTCGGATGATTAGATTTGGCACAGGCAATAATCCAGGCTAATCTTCCTATTTTAAGCTCTCCAACTTTAATTATATCTGCAAAGGCCCTTTTGTCAGGTAATGCAACATAGTCACATGTTTGGGGGATGAGAGCATGGCTTACTTGGAGGGATTATTCTGTTTACACAGGCTGGATAAAATCAACTATATTCAAATTAAGAAATGTATATGAATGAAATAAAAATGACATAAATTGTATTAAAAACTCAAGAAAGTAAAAAGCAAAAGAAAAGTGGTTACCTTGGAGGAGCGTAAAGAATGTATTTCAGAGAAGGGCAAAGAGAGGAGGAATGCTATGGTAGTGTTAATGTTCCATTTCTTAAACTACCTAAGGATATGCAAATATTTATTCTTTATCATTAGCATTCCTTAAATTGCACATACATATTATTTGCATGAAGTCCTGATGTGGTGCTGTAGGATAAGCCCTGGGCCACAAGGTAAGTTTGAACCATAAGGGCGGCAGTTCAAACTCACCAGCCGTTCCTCGGAAACTCTATACGAGGTCTCTATGGGTCAGAACCAGCTTGATGGCACTTAACAACAACATGAGTTGGAACCAACTTGACAGCAAGTTAACAACAACAATTATTATTTGCATGCATGTATAAGTTTCACAATAATTTTTTAATGTTTAAAACATATTTTATATTTGCATATAAATTCTACCATAGAATTCATAATTCCTTCTTTACTCTGGAATTCATTAATAGAGCCAATTAATAGAGAATTTATTTAGGAAGAGGAACAAGCAGTGAAGGAGACAGAAGAATGAAAGACCGAACAAAACTCAAAATATTTATCTCACAATTTTAGAGGGAGTTAAAATTGCTGCTTTCCTCCTTCCACATAACAGAGAGAAAGTGACTCTACTCTTTAGAAAATGGAGTCCAAGAGGAAGAGAAATCCTCATGACCTACATCTACCTCATTCCCTTAATGGTTTGGGGGCCAATGGAAATCATGAGGTCACTAGGTGTCTGGAGTCAAAGGAGATAATATTCCAAGACATGAATGGTGTCCTGAATGAATGTTCACAAAAACACAAAGAGAAAATTCATTAACTTTGATTGCTCTCTGCCTAGGACTCTGATGCTTCTGATACCTTGAGAATTACCTCTGTGATACCTCTGGAAAGTTGCCATAGATTGCCCCAATCTGCCTTAATATCTACAGATAGTCAGTAGGCTAAAGGTGGTGGTGTGCCGATGAGTCAATTCTGACTCATAGGGACCCTGCATAGGGTTTCCGAGGCTGTAAATCTTTACAGAAGTAGAGAATTTCACCTTTTTTCCACAGAAGCTAAAGGTAATCCTTTATGAATGACTGTTCCAAGGACTCTTCATAAGTGATTCATGCTTCTGACATAATTTTTTTTAGTTTTAATTATGATTGCTTTTTATTATTTGCATATTTATAAATCTGAACTTTGTCTTTAGGAGTTGGAAACATTGCATCTGAGAATGATAACATCAAAAAATTATGTGCCACAACACTTTATGTAGTACATATTACTAACAATAACCAACTGCAATCAAGTTTTATCTGACTCACATCTGTTTTATAGGACAAGGTAGGGTTACCCCATAGGATTTCCAAGAAAGTACATCTTAACGAAACGGACCGCTATATCATTCTCCCACGAAGCAGTTGGTGGGTTTCAGCTGCCCACTGTTTGGTTAGTATCCAAATACTTTAACCACTGTGCAACCAGTGCATCTATAGATCAACTAGAGAGATTCATGGTAATCAACCTTTCTAATGGATTTATATCCTGATGAACTCTCAACTGTTATAATCCTCTTTAATTACTTGAGTTGATAGGTGAATTTGTTTCCCACAAAATTTTGCATTAAGAGATTAGCTAACATTTTTCTAAAAGAAAACTCTATACACAATATTGGCCTGTACTTTCATTAACTTATACCATTCCCATGGTAATAATAAATCCTTCTACTGAGAGGTATTTCCCTTTCAAACCAATGACAGAAGAAAGCAGTTATGGGACAGTGGCAAGCTTTTCTTTTTTCTGACTAAAAAATACTCTTATTGAGCTTTGAAAAACTAAACTGTTTCCAAAGAAAACTTACTTGGATTCAATTTTCTGCTTAATTTTCTTTGCAACATTTGTAAAAGGAAGAGGAACTCTACTTTAAGTTCATTGCTGAGTGTGTTGGGATTGCTTAGTAATTCTGATAATCGAATGTTATCTTTAATAGACTTTGAAACTGTAGACCTGGGAACCAGGGGCAAACGCATCTGGTAACTATAGTCAGTGAAATTCACAAGGTCATCCTGGATACTTTTAATTCTGAAACAAAAATAAAATACTGTTTATAAGACATATTATTAATGAGATTTATATGAGCAAAGGTTTCACATTAAATTATATTACTAGAAAATTTCAAATAACTCACTCTCGATGTGTCAACAAAGTGTAGATCTCTTGTATCAGTATTTCAGGTACTCCAGGTTTACAGTGAATGGTACCATGGATAAGTTCTTTAGGTAACTTTAATTTTTTTCTTGCTAGGAACTTTAATAGCAGAAAGAAAATATTTTCATCATAGAAAGTGCTATAAAATTTTCCAATTGACTTATGAGTTTATTTTTACACCCTTATAGTAACCTTTCAACTAATTTTATGTTTAATGTTTTGATTATTAAAAGATTATTATTCAAGAAAACTCTGTCCTAATTTGAAAGGAATATACTTAGCTTCATGAGTGATTCACAGCATAAGCAATTGAAACTTATTAGCCAACTTGGGAACATGGGAACACACTCCCAACTCAGTAGCATTACTTATATGTATATATATTACATATATATAATATATATGTATATATGTAATATGTTATATATATTACATATATATTACATATATATACATATAAGTAAAGATATCTGAGACTTAAGGAATGCACTTAAAAAAAAATTTAATCAACATAATTCCTTAATGGGTAAAAGTATAAATGATTGCTAATTTACCTTCTCCAACTGTGCCCAGTTATCCAACTTGACTTTTAAAGAGGTTCCATTTTCAAAGAATGACAATTTAAGGTCCCAGGGGAAATATATAGTGAATATTTCTGCAATCAGGAAGCCATTTGAAAAATCTCTGCTCCATAGCAATAAAGAAACAAAATTAATGTAGTTTATTATAGTGTTTGCATTATTTTATAGTTAATTAACACCACTTAAATATTCCATACTGACAGGAAGTAACTTAGAAAATCAGAATTTTACTGGTTTTTTACTCTGAGGTCCATTCTCTTACAGAGTAGCATTTTGGTTATTTGTTTGAACCCACTCCACCAGGCCACAGAAGAAAAAGGTTGACCATCTTCTTCAGTCAAAATGATACCCAAGAAAACCTGTGAAGCCATTCCACTTTAGCACATGGGGTTATCAGTCGTAAGCAACTGGATAGCAGCGTCATTTTTCTTTTTTCTTAAAGATTATATACATACCCAAGGCTTTGGTATTCTTTTTATTAATCCAAACGATTATTTGTACTGAATCTGCATTTTAACAAGCTCCTCAGGTAATTCAAATGCACTTCTAAATTTCAACTACATCTTTTCTTAAAATACTGAAATTAGTAAACCTTTCTTGCAAAAGATTTATTTTTATAGAATTTAGTTTGCTTTCCCAAGGCAAATATTAACTGCCAGTTGAATTCAGGGAGGCTACAATTAAGCGACAGCTTTTGTAAATCTCCAATGACTCTCCAACTAGGTATCATCTTTAATAAACTGGTTCTCAGAAGTACGAGTACTGAAGTCCGGTGGTGGTGTGCCGTGGAGTCAGTTCTGACTCATAGTCACAGTTGTAAAATTATGGGAGCAGAAAGCCCCTTCTTTCTCCGGCAAAACAGCTGGTTGTTTCCAACTGCTACCCTATCAGAGCTCCTTAAATTCTAGTATCCATGAAGAATTTTTGGAGTCCAGGTGTGGCACCATAGGATAAGCATTCAACCCCTAGGTGGGCGGTTCAAACTCAACATTCCTCAAAACCCTTTCCAAGGTCACTATGAGGAGTCAAAACCAACAACATTCAGGGGAAAACCGTCTTTACTATGTTAATTCTGTATTAGTTGAAGTGTAATGGCTGATTAGAGTGAGTGAATGAATGAATGAAATCCTTCGTATCTTTTTTTTCTGAGACCTGGTGTGACACTGGAGGTAAGCTCTGGGACCTCAAGGTCGGTGGTTCAAACCTACCAGTTGCTCCTCATAGGGTCGCTATGAGTCGAAACAACTCGACAACACTTAACATTTGCGTATTAGGGCGCTCCACAGAGGGGAAAGATATATTCCTGTCTCCATGGGGGTAGAGGGGTGGGGGATACGGGGCAGAGGGTGGTAATGTGAAACCTAAACCAGGCCTGGGACAGCAGGGGACGGGTGTGGTGCGCGGCACTGGCATAGGCCGGCGGGGTCGCGGTCGACCAAAGACTGGCGCGGATGCCTGGGCGGGATAGGCTGAATGTGCCGGCCCGGAGGACCTCGGCTGGCTCGCTGGAGCACCTGCTGATATTCCTGGGAAAGAAGGTGAGATCCAGTCCTTGGAGCCAACGCAGAACGGACCGAGACAGGCGGGATCTTTTTGGGAGTTGAGGATAGACCAGACCCTTCTTAGGCTTCCCTCGGATGGGAGCTGCTGGATTTGGCGAAAGTGACGTTGACTTGATTAAGGCTGCCGCCGGCTGTGTCAAACATCTTTTTTGCAGGCCGGCGGCAGCCATGTCGCTTTCTGGGTTTCTATGGCAACAGTAGTTGAAGGGCGGGGCCTCTGCATAGAAGCAGCAGTGCGGTAGTCTGGGTGGGGCTGGAATCTGGTTTGAGGGCTCGTTGGGGATCCATTGGCCAGGGACACAGACGAGAGTTTCAACCTTGGGCTGAGCTTTCAATCTCAGCTTTTGTTGGGCTCACTCACTTGTAGCCATTTGATTTTGCTTTATTTTAATTTATTAGCTCATAAACTTGAATTTTAAGCTTTGTGATTTCTGCCCAGACAGGCCTGTTATTGTTGTTGTTAAGTGTTTTTGAGTCAATTCCGACGCATAGTGACCCTGTGTAGGGGTTCCGAGGAGTAGCTGGTGGGTTTGAACAGTCACTTTGTTCACATTGTCTGTTTCAATTAATCATTTGGGGAGCCATATTAGGAGTCACCAGATGGCAGTTTTGGTTTCAAAACGGTAGAAGATTATTATTATTTTGCTGAATAACACCATGGAAAAATCTGTGCAATTGAAAGTAAAAAATGTTTAATATCTGAGAAATTGAACATGCTTATTCCCTTAATTGGAGTCCTGATGCTGTAGGATAAGCACTGGATCACACGATCGGTTTCAGAAACCCTATACAGGATCTCTATGTGTGGAAACCAACTAGACAGAATTAAACATTTCTTCAATGATTCCAAAGAAGTGTTCATAAAAATAACACATTTGAAAAAAATTTTTTTTCACACTTGAAGATGCCCTAGTTTCATGCAAAATTTATTTATCGAATTCAAACCTGGTGTGGCTGTGGGTTAATGCGCTGGACTGTAAAGTTGGTTTGAACCACAAGATCGGCAATTCAAGCTCACCAGCCATTCTGGAAACCATATGCAGAGTCGCTGTGGGTCGGCACTAGCTGAAGGGCACTTAACAACAACCACAACATCAACATCAACAAATGTTGTGGTTGTTGTTAAGTGCTGTCAAGTCGATTCCGACCCATAGCCACCCTGTACAGGGTTTCCGAGGCTGTAAATCTTTACAGGAGCAGAAGGCCTCATCTTGCTCCGGCGGAACCTCTGGCAGTTT